ATGTCTGACTAAAATGGCCTTTTATTTTCGGGAAAAGAGCAGCTTTGATTAAGTCACTATCACATTTTTTAAAACCTCTCGCGTGTCAGCGAGTACGCCGTGTGGCCAAAGAAAGTATAGCAGCCAGCCTGTTAAGTCCGTGACCTACACAGAGAATTGGATATGCTAATAGATTTAACAGATCTCCTGCATCAAGGAATGTTAATGCTGTGCCTTGGACGCATCTTTCCTGTCATGGGGGCTGCACAGTGCTCCCGTGACTGCTGTCCTGTGATACTAGGCCTGGGATGCCCTAGTTAGAGGGTAATAGATCCACTCTTCTCAGTGACTCTTCTCAGTGACTTCAATCTCCCTGTGTTTGCCACATCTAATTCTTCTGAAATCAAGTTTCAGCTTTAAAAACCAGCCACAAACAGTAATCCCGAAATGCGCTGCTTCTTGCTGTTGCTGGTAAACAAACACTTAATCTTGACTGCGAAGTTAATAGTGTTTCATAGAAACATAAAAAATAGTGGAACGGGATAAATGTAAGGGAAAGTTGTGGGTGTTTTTCTGTAGCTATTAAGGGCGCATCACTATTGGAGTAAATAGTGACCTTAAAAAAAAAAAAAAGGTATCCCTTTCATTTTGATGAGAAGCTATTATCTAAGTAACTTCCTAGGCACAGAAGTAGGATAGTGATTTCTTTATATACACACATGGAGAAGGAATAATGGCAAAGAACATGTTTAAACATGGTACTGGCGATAACATTTTAATACTGTGGAAGTTAGGACTCTTGTGAAACTGAGCTTTATGAAGATGGTTTTGCTGCGGTTGGCTTTTGTTTATGAAAAACTTCTAGCTTCCACCACAAACTTTCTCTTGTTGAGGCTGATCCTTCTAGCACTTAAGCTGTCAGGGATGCTAGCTAAGCTGCGTGCAGCTGAACTGTGTATATTAACCTTTGCTTTTCTACGTTGTGTATTTTCTGGAGTTAAACAAAATGTCACACCAAAAACCGAGCTTCGGCTAAATAGTTTTGAGCACATTAAAAGTAATTCTCAATGTTTAGCTGAATGCATCAATCTTTTAATTAGGAAAGTATTTAACATGCACTTCACTCACTGGAAGAATGTACGGGTGCTTCTTACTGACTTATGGAAGCAGGGTGTCTTAGTGAATCAGAAATACAACTTTAGGCACATTACACCAGAAGTTCAATATATGGAAGTCATAATTAATTCTCTGTATCCTTGCATATTTTATGCCTTTTGAAATGTATTGCTATTATTTATTTTTATGCCTTATAATATGAAGTATTTGTTAACATTTCATGAACTTGTGAACTGAAACGAAGCAACAGATGACTGATTTAACCTTGGTATGTCACTGTGGCCAGGAAAGGCGGCAGGTGTTTGTTAATGCATGCTTAGGTTATGTCAGCCTTATGAGGTGAAAAGTTGATCTTTGGGCACTTGAGAGCGTTGGCTTTTTTAGTCCTCAAGGGATGTAATGGATTTGAGTAATGGAGGTTTCCAATTGCCAAGATCTCATTCTGTGCAGGAGAAGTAATGTTGATCTCTACCTAATTCTAACCCATACTGATAAACTAGAAGAGAACAGCTGTAGTGGAAGTACTGTTCGGTGCCCGCTTCCTGATCTCCAGGGTGAAACTGATCATCCTGGCCAAAATTTGGGCATAGTGGGACATCAGTGACACCTGTGCTGTGTGAACAGCATGGTTTTTTAGGGGAACACAGAAGCTCTTCTGAATTAACTCATATTTTGATGTGGGTATGGGCTGTTGTTCCAGTAGTACATTATTTCTGAATAGCTGACCTTTGAGGTGTATTTCTAGATGGAGCAAACAAATAGACTTCTTGGTGGTCTGCTTATTTGTGTACTTTGAAAGAAGGGGTGTTCAGGAGTTAGAACTTCATAGTGACTACTGTGGAAAAAGTTATAATGCAGTGACAAATGGTAAGTAATCATTGGGGAGGGGTTATTCTGCCTTCAGTTAAAAGCTCAAGATCTAGGTCTCTTCATAATATATTCAATAATGAATTTCTGGAAAGTGATTATAAATTCTTTCTCTTCCCCCAGTTATTAGAAATTGAGGACTCTTAAATTTCTGGAAAGTGATTATAAATTCTTTCTCTCCCCCCCAGTTATTAGAAATTGAGGACTCTTAGTCACTATCATCTTGCTGCCTTATGAGCTCATGCGGAAAGTTACAAATATTTTTCTCTTTGTAACCTTTATATGTAGGAAGACATGGGTCTTGCAGGACAGATTGCCTCCGGTGGCCAGTATTTTTCAAGTTTTAGTATTTGCTCTCTTCTAGACCATGTCTAAATTGACAGCAAAATATTTGACCTCAAGTTGCACCAGGGGAGTTTTAGATTGGACATTAGGAATAATTTCTTCACCAAAAGGTTTTTCAAGCACTGGAACAGGCTGCCCAGGGAAGTGGTTGAGTCACCATCCCTGGAGGTGTTTAGAGACTCGTAGGTGTGGCACGTACGGACATGGTTTCGTGGTGGACTTGGCAGTGTTAGGTTAATGGTTGGACTCAGTGATCTTAAAGGTCTTTTCCAACCTAAGTGATTCTATGATGTATTCATCCAGGAGAACCTTTATCAGTATTATGAATAACATTAGAGTAGAAAATCATATATTATACAGTACAGGTGGCAGTCATATTTAGCGCATGGTGGTACAAGAATTGCAGGTTTTGAAAGTTAGTAACATTTTTTCAGTTAACTTAGCTTGTGATCCACTGTAACCGCTCATCTTTCTCTGTTGACTCACGGCTTACCTGGTTATTCTCCATCTTGCATTTGTACTTTTGAGTTCTCCTAAGTGTACCACCACACACTTTCCTTTACCGAAATTTGTCTTGTGGATTTTTAGATCATGTCTTCAATTTGTGAAAACAATTTTGTGTGCTAATCTTGCTAATCTTAAGATTTTCTGCTTTCTTAGTTTAGTATTGTCAGACCTTTTTTTGCAAATGCCTTTACTTTCGCATTCCTTTTAAGTGAAAGTGTTAACTAGAAGCAGAGGGAGTTTGAACAAAACGCATCAATGTCGGATTCAGATGGCACCCCACTGGAAATGCTCTCAGTGAGCTGTTGACTCAGCCTCTGAGAACAGATTAGTTTGGGCTGTTGTACGTGTAACATATAGATACAACACGTCTGTATAGTTTCCTTTTGAGAATGTTTGGTGGGACAGATCGAGCACTAAAGCAAAGGTGTATCATAAAGTACTGCTTCCCTTTCACCGCATCTCAAGTGACCCTGACAAGGAAAGTTTCTTAAGAACAAATACATTTTTTGTTACAGCCTCAAATTCACTTTGGATTAAGAGTGTAAAGATTTTCTGTTCAGCATGTTTATCCTGATAAGCCTGGGGCATTGTTAGCAGTGTACTATTTCAAAAGTATGCAAACACAAGGAGCTATGTTTTTCTGCCAGCAGATCTTATTTTTCCCCAGTGTTTTATTTTATGGATGGCAAAAACTAATTCAGAGGACTCCTTCCACCATCTCAAAGGATTAATGCATTAAGCCTCTTTCTCTAGCCTTTTCTGAACTTGTGCAGCTAAAAGCAAACATAGGCTAATAAATACACTAATTTCTTCTTCTCGTGTGGCTTAGCGCCTGTACAAGGAAAGTGAGTTGGACTGTGGTAGATATTTATTAAATAGCCACCAGGTCTTTCTATGGTAGTGTAGTTTAGAAACTATTTGATTGCTGTCAATATTAGAGGTTTGACAAGTACATTGTTTTATTTTGTTCCAGCGACCCAAAGAGCTACTCATTTCTCTCTCTCTCTTTTTGTTTTTGTTTTTTTTTCTTAGAAACCTTTTGTGTGCAAGTAGATCATGTGAGTTCTAATAGGTCACAGTGAATAAATAGCTCAGCTGAAATCACTGCGCTCAGAGTATAACAAAGGCTTTGTTCTGCTGGGCACAATGGAGCCAACAAGGAGCAGTAGGAGGGTGATGCTAAATGCTATCTCTGTGAATTTCATTAAATACTAATGTGCAGTGGTCAGTCAGGGAGACTTGACAGCTGCGCTACGTTTATCTGTCATGGTTAGTCTTCCAAAAAGAGCATAATGATCACCTTGTTGGCTGATGTTTTTGTCATTCACGTAGAGTGTGTTTACAGAGAGAAATAATGTGTTAGTATTCAAAATCTGCTAGACTACTTAGACTGTCATTGCACTGTACTAACCTCTGGCTCAGTTTCCCCCTTTCCAAGAAGACTTTCAAAGAGGACTCTGTCATCACAAAGTAAATTATTTTACAGAGTGAAAAATACAACTGACATCATTCAGGTCCTCCAGCTTCTTTTGGAGTACGTTTTCTACCAAAATGCCTTTTTTTTTTTTTTTTCTTTAGTGGTGGTGCTATTGATGCCTCTGTTGGAAAAACATTGCCTTTTTTTTTTAAAAAAAAATATTTTTCTGCAATTTTTGGAACTTCAGCTTTTCTCAGATTACACATGTGCTGCTTATATTCTTTAATTACGTAGGCCTTTCACCAGGTAGGGTTATTTCATCCAGGCCGTTTTATTTGTGAAGTAGCAACCGTATTGGATGACAGTAGCTGGTGGGTATCGCTTCACCTGCTCTCTCTCCAATCGTGAGCAAATTACACGTATTTTAATTGCAGTTTGTTTGTTCTGGAGAATGTTTGGGGACTGCTTGGGATTGTCCACAGGATAAATCCAGCCCGTGAGGGTGCTCAGACTCTGTGGATCACTGGAAACCTTGCTGGAGAAATTAGCATGAAGACCAAACAAGGGTTTTTGTTGCAGCCTTACCAAATAGCTTAGAAATTGGAAAAAAATCTTCCCTGTTCCTTAGAAGTAGCTGACAGATGGAGGAGAGGAGGGAAAAGGTAAAATGGAGGAAGGAAGAATACATCTTTTCCTGTTCGGATAAGAAACAAGAAGAAGGAGATTCCTTTGTCTGTATGCAGACCACAGGAAAGGAGGAGCTGAGGGAGAGCAGGTTCATGAGAAGGAAGTTACTCATTCCTAGTGTCAGTTCTGTAACAGGGCTCTTCTGTATCTACTGGCTTAGTGCAATTTCAGCATTATTTTTGTGGTTCTGTTCTTTCAGCTGTGCAAAATGCATTGCAGGGGTTACATTTTCTTTCCATGGGTTTCTGCTGCATGCTATGAAATTTAAAATAACAGGGTTTTGTGCAGCCTCTAGAATTGTACTTAATAATGGCAGAATATGTTATTTTTGAGGAACAGGGCCATTTTATAAATACATGCTCTGGAAGTATGACTGTTTGCCATGTTTAAACAAATAGATTGAAAGCATAAATTATTTTACTGCATTGTATTATGTAATAGGCCTGCAGCTGACGTGGGAATTAGTATTCTGATCTCTTAAACGTATCAGAATGGAATGTAAAGGTACCTTCCTTCTATTTATAAGATAAGATTTCTGTCAGTACTCGTTACCTTAAGATAAGTCAGGAGATGCTTAGTGGAAGACAAGATTGTGTGTTAAGGCTAATTACTCTCTAATGTAATGTAGCTGCAGGTGTCCTTAGTGAATGGAGTCTCTGGTTCCCTGACTTACCAGTCACAGTAGAAAGTGATCTCCGTCAGGCTCACGTTTCTGCATCAGAAGTATCATCCTTGCAAAAATACAGAAATAATAAATTTGAGTTAGTGTAGTGCTTGTGAATCCTGGGAAGTGAAGGAAATGATGCAATATGGGTAAGCTGTGTGGCATTAAGTTTTCCTTTTCTGACCTGCCAGTTCTTTGTACTCCTGTGTACAGGAAACTGCCTGGAGGGGGCGATAGGGCAGTTCTGCCGCGGTGACATCTTGAGCCTTGTACATAGGGCTTACTGAAACAGTTCAGATAAGAGGTATTTTTTTAAAATGTAGATTTGCTGCGTGCTTGAGAAGTTCCATAATTGGTTATCCACCACCTTAGCCGGACAGTCTATCCTTTGAGTGTTACTAATTGTTATTGTAGTGCTGGTGGTCCAAGGATATGGGGAGGAGTAATATAGGGAGTTTTATGGGGAGAAGTGATTATTTTATTAAGGCAACTGATTGAGATATTTAGAAAAAGCATAGAGCTTTTGTCATACAGCCATCATCCTGTATTCTTCATGACAAAGAGGCTTGGTGTGGTAAAAATCTTGACATTATTTCTCCCTGTTCCTCCCTGCAAATTTTATCACTTTGGTTAGCAAAGGTTCTCTCCTTAAAAATGTCATCTTTTGATTTACTTTAACATTGGATATATCTGTACGTCATGATACAGTGTCGTGCAAAGACTTTTGCGTGTACCTGCAGTTGTTCTAAATTGTAAGCTGTTTTTCCATGCATGGAATTTTGATACTGTCTGGTCAAGGGGCTATCAGTATTTCAGTTTAACCTTTTCCCCCTTTATCTTTTCTTATTGAGATGTAACAATCCTTTGGAGTTTTGATCTTTGTCAGTCTGGTTCTGTTCTGGTCTGATTCTGTTCAGATTGGTGGGACTTTCGCTTTTGAATTCTTTGGCAACATGGTAGGATCTAAGTGCAATTTGCAATCATACCATCAAGGCGAAAGTTCATTTTTCATAATTCTCTCATTGTTTCTTAAACACTTCCTTAAGGCTTTATTCTTATATAAATTGTCTTATTCTGGGGACTTCTACAGGTGCTTCCTCAGCTGTGTACAGTGTAACTGTGTGGGGTTTTTTGTTTGTTTGTTTTGTTTTGGTACTCTTATCTGTTAATCTGAAACCTATTTGGAAAAAAAAAAAAAAGTCAAGTAGAATGTATTTGTCCAGGAAATGAGGCAGTTAAATGTGCTTTGAATATATGCATTCTACGCATCTCACTGTCATACTGACTTTATGAAATAGCTAGATACGTATTATTATATGTATAGCTAAATATGTAGTTATTCCCACAGTTTTGTCATGCGTTTCATAGGCTTTGAAGTTGTGACTCGTGGTTGTTTGGATTTTTCTGACTGTTAAACTGGGATATAGGCTCGTAATAAATAGTCACAATGCAGAATAAAGATTTGTAAGTAATAGGGGGAGAATAAATTCTCATCTCTTAAAAGCCCTGTTCTTCCAGTGTTTAAAAATAATCCTTATTTTGGGATTGCATCTAACATTCACCATGAGAACACACTCCCTTATCTATGCTTTTTTCACTTTTGTTACTGATCAACTTACAGTCTTACAGCCTTAGGCATAGCCCTTATGAAAGCATAGGGACAAAGATGTTAGAGCGAAACTGAACTATAGGTTTTATTGTACTGAGGCAGCTCATAAATAAATAGTTGAAATATTTTTTGTAGATGGGAATGTATGTATTTTAAATATCTTTCTCTGGCAATTATCAATGTAGTCTCATAAACGAGTATGAAAACAGCTGCATTTCACTTCTACTGAGTATAGTGAAACATTATTCTTTCTTTTTACAGGTAGGATAGTGAGACTAACTTGGTAAGATTGTTTCCTATCTGGGCCTAGAGCTCAGGTGGCTTTTGTGTCCTAATGTACAATAGTTGGAAAAGTTCTTTTTAAGTTTAGGATCTAATCTCACTGTCTCAGAGTAAGGAATTCTGAAAAATAAAATTTGTATTTTTGGTTTTTAGGGTACCCTTGAAAGTGGAACAGGCAAACAACGCTCGTGATGCCTTGGCTAAAACGGTGTATAGTCATCTGTTTGACCATGTAGTGAACAGGGTAAACCAGTGTTTTCCATTTGAGACTTCCTCTTTCTTCATTGGAGTTCTAGATATAGCTGGTTTTGGTAAGTATACTTTAAAAAAAATAATTGATTTTCTAGTTGTCTATTATTGCCACCAAAGATTCAGTGATAAATTCTGTAATGAAGAGTTGGGAGGGTTTTGGTTTTGGTGCTGGTGGGTGGGGTGGTTTGCAAGGGCTTAAGAAGATATCAAGAGAGCAGATAAAGCTTCATTTTCCTGAGATAGAAGAATGTAGAGGGGGTCTAGAGCTTCTTCTGATGACCTAGTAACACTAGCAAGTGTCAGTGTGAAACTAGTGTCTTTGTAATGGCTTCAGATTCCTGTAGTGTCTACATAAACAGGGCTTTTGAAGGACTAAAAATTTGGAATGGAATCTCACTGTGGCCACATAGTAAAATTAGGGAAGATGCTGCACATGCATGCTGTTCTCCTGTTTAGTCCTGAGAAGATCACTGCATGCTGACAGGCAAATGATGTGTCTGAATTAAGATGCTGTTCGTAACACAGCTATCCATTATCCAGCAGAGTTCGACCTTGAGCTCCTGGTCGCTCCTGGGAAGTGGTGGGCATTGATGGTTCCCGTAAAGCTCTTGTCTGGTTTAGGTCACTGAGATTCAGAGCAGGGCACGTTTTCTAGTGTGCTTTAGCCCTGCTAAGGTGGTCCAAGAACAGTGAAAAAGGGAACTTTTGGTTTTCAGGTCTTTCGAGCTATGATACCCTGTGCCAGCCTGTTGTAACATGGATGCATGAGGATGTATTGGGACAGTTTCACTGTGTGGTAGCATCTTGCTTTGGTTTGCTGCCAGATATTACTGTCTGTTATTTGTCTTAAAAATATGATCTGCAGCAGTATTTTTATATTTGTCTTATGTGCAACTTGAAAATCTGTACAAGCTTTTATTTTGCTGAAAGTAACAGATATGGATCTGAACACATCTTTAAATATTAGCGCTGTCAAGCTTCTCTTATTTACTATGTAATATAAATTCTTGGAATGCTGGTTTATCATAGAAGTTTAACTTATGTTTTTCAGAATACTTTGAGCACAACAGTTTTGAACAATTCTGTATTAACTACTGTAATGAAAAACTGCAGCAGTTTTTTAATGAAAGGATTCTGAAAGAGGTATGTTATATTTGTTATATTTGAGGATTTATGTTTTTAGTAAAGAGATACTTATGGAAAGCAGTGCTACTTTAATATTTCCATAATATGCTTAAATTAAAATAAAAATCAGTTGACAAACTGTTTTCCTACTATGTGACATCTGGTTGCACTAGAACAAAATACTGGTTTTTGAAAACCAACAATCTTTTTTCTTCTTCTTTTTTGCCATTCATTAAAATGAAGCATCCAGATCCTGGACAATATCTTGTACCTAATGGGACTGTCTGATTGCATGGGCTTATCATTAAGGAGGTGAAGCTGGAGTGTATTAAGCTGTGGAAGACAATTCTATAATATCTGTTGATTTATGCTGTATTTAAAAGGTGTGGTTTTTGGTTTGTTTTTTTTTTTTGAGGAACAAGAACTTTACCAAAAAGAAGGCCTGGGGGTTAATGAAGTGCGCTATGTGGATAATCAGGACTGTATAGGTATGTACTTCTTGAAACATAAAACTATTCATTAGTGTCACGGAGAAAAAAGTCTCCAAGCAGAAGAGGCAAAATATGCATAGCACTAGCAATTTTATGGTTTTAATGACTGTTGCAACCTTGTGAATTTTTCCAGCTTTTTGTAACATTCCTGTTCTGGTTCGTAATGAAGCCGTGTTGTCCTACAGTGTGTGGTAACTGCAGCTGGGACTTGGGTATTTCTCGTGCATTTTCCTAGAAAACTAATTAGAACACCTAAATAAGGTGAATAAAGTGAAGAGGGGTATAGGGTGTCTGGGTAAAAATATTCCATGAATTAAAAAAAAATCCTATCCCATTCCCTCCACCTTTTTTGACCCAGTGAGCAAAGAAACGGAATGAACTATAGGCAACAGTCTGTAGATGTTACTGCTGCTTTTAGGTTTCCACAGACTGCTATACCAGAGGCTTAAGATGATGATGATGTTTTTTTCTCCACGTTCAACCTGTGTTCTCCAGATTGGTGTATTGTGAACAAAAGTTCATCTCGCTTTTGCATTTACGGTAGCTTGCTTACGGTAACTAGTCAGTCCTGGACAAGGAGGGGATTCGGAGTGACAGAATTAAAAATCTATTGCAAAACGTTCTGAGTTTCTGTAGCTCTGTTGAAGAGGTTTTCACTTTGTCAGATAGGATTGTACAATCACTAACTCTGACTTAAGACAAATCTTGTCAAGGAAACCTTTAGCCATCTTGTGAAAAAGTAACAGGGAGGTATTTGGAGGAGGGAACAAAAACACAGCAACAGGAAATAAGTGACTTCTACAAATACAGATCTTACATCTTCTAGTAGTTTAATAAGGTGTTTAATAATGTGTGTATGAGCCTGAGCCTGTTCCCAAAAATGTTATAGTGTAGAGACTGTCATGTTCCTATAAGAAGGGTTGCTTCCCCCCCAGTGCATGGGTTTGTTTTTGTTTTTAAACATATCTCTGAATCAAAAGAGGTTCCCTAGTGCCTATTTGAAGAAAAAGTCTCCATCTGACTCATAGTGGGGAAAATGGGTCAGGTTGCAGACATGATGGCCAAGTTGTTTCCTGTCATAGAAAAGGTTTGGGCAGCTTACTTAAGAATACTAGTAGCAGTCCCTCAGTCATGACCCCTTCTACTTTTCCACAGGTTTGACACATTTCTTCATTGTATGTGTTACATAAGTTAATAAATTATAGCTTAGTTAAACCACAGCATGTGTGCCTTTTTTTCTCTTCTTGCAGTCAGGAGAGAAGGTTTTTCTACTGCCTTTTGAAGAGAGTGACAAAAATAATGTTGGTTTCTGTCAAAATATGATTTTAAGGCGTTTGACCAGGCTGATGACAGCAGTGAACATGTGGAAATGTTAACTGTCATGAAAGAGATGATATTATGTTGACATGGACAAATTTTTAACACTACGAAAGAATCTTAGAAACAGTCATTAGTATATTAGAGTGTTTTGATGGAGTGATAGTCATCTCTCTAGCTAAATTAGCTGATTCAGATTTTATAACCATGAATTCTTTCCATTGGAGCTGTCTCTGTGCTTTATATAGAGCGCCTCATACTGTGGTAAGAGTTCATGGGCACTGAGAGTTTACAATCTGAGGTAAGAGTTCATGGGCACTGCTGCAGTACAGGCATCAGTCACTTCTTCCTTTCCAGAGAAAAAAAGTAGGTAGTAAAAATTCTTCTTGCAAGAACAGTTTTGTAGATAATACAAAAAAGTTTTAAAAGCTGCAAAATTCTTGTGTCTGATAGTTTCAAGAGCATGAATTTCTCTGGCAGCTCTCAAGGTCTTATGTATATGTATGTGAAAGCTCAGGGCAATACTCTTGTAAAAAGTTGTGAAACCAGCACTGTATGCTCAAGTCTGATCAGCCTTTCTTAAAACAAATGCATTTAATTTTTTTCCCTGGATCCTGTTGTGAATGGAACTATGCACCTTTTCATGCTTTTAGTTTTGACGTGTGGTGAAATGTGGATGAAAAGCTTAAAAAAACCCCCCAAAACCAACAACATAAGCAATTATCCCATAGAGACTTATGGTCATACCACAGAAGCACTTAAACACCTCTTGGGAATTAGATGACTAAAATCAGCTTGAGACCTAGAGTAAAAATCAAACAATCCATTCCTGATCTTTTTTGCCTCGTGTTTCTTGTGTTAGAGTTAGGACTTGGTATGTGTAGGCTGTATAGGAGATCAGTTAAATCAGCAATTCAGCTATGTAGAATTAATTTGCGATGACTTTATGTATTTTGTTTTAACAGCTTTCTCTAAATACCTTTGTACAGAATTGGATCAGTAGCATTTTAAACTTGTGATGTTCAATTCTGGTAGGAGTTTATATATTCAATTTTTGTAACTATATTTTGTTTTATTGATAGATTTGATTGAAGCAAAATTAATAGGTGTACTGGATATTTTGGATGAAGAAAACCGTCTTCCCCAGCCAAGCGACCAGCATTTTACTTCAGTTGTGCACCAAAAACACAAGGACCATTTCAGGCTCTCTGTAGGTTTCTTTTTGCTGTCTGTCTTGTTCTAATGAAACAGTTCTTGGAACAATTGACAGTAGCACTTCAGTTTAATGAAAACCTTCCCTAAGAAATCTCACACCGCACCAGTCTGCTCAATCCATATTCTTTTGTTAAGAACAAGTTTGGTTATTAGGTCTCTTGAAATTTTCACTGAATGCTTAAGTCTTCTGGCAGTTCTAACTGCTGAAACTAAAGCCATATTCTTCACTTACATTTGAAGTTTGTAAACATGTAATGCATGAGAAGGAAATAAGACCACATTTTAATTTAGATTATTTCATATCAGATGAGCGATTTTGTTGTTCCTTTCAAAAATTGCTTGCTTTGGAGAATATTTGACTCGGAGCATCTAGCTAGCATTTCGGAGGTGAAAATAGGGAACATACAAGGAAAACCTTTTTGTTTTTAATTCTTTAGCACTCTGTGGAAGATTAATGCAAATTATTTCGGTTCATGTATATGACTTCTGTAAAAATGCCAAAAAAAAAAAAAAGAAAAAGAAAAAAAAAAGTTACTTCCCTGATGAAAAAGTGCAAGCAAAGGGAGCTGAATAAAATTGTCACCCAATTATTTACCTTTTGTTAAGTTTCTGCTTAATCTTACTTAACTAGATTGCTGTGCAATGAAACATTTTTGTTTTTTTCATTTTCATATGATCAGCTAGGTGGTTACCTTTTAAAATACACTGTCTAAAAACATATTTTAAGCTTCTGTCTAATCCTGTTCATACAACAAAGCTATTCGTCAGCTGTGGAATGAATGGTATAGAAATAGTTGATTAAAGACAAAAGGAAAATCGCCTAGCTGGTATTAGCAATCCTGGTAACTTTTATTTTGAATGTGAGGTATCTAATAAGGGTGTGAATGAGAATGAAAATAGGTTTTGGAATATCAGGAATACAGGAATGGTAGTGGTCATCACAATTGTACTGCAGGAAATGTCATTTTTAACACCTGGCACATCATGATGATGTTTTAAGAATAACCATTTTCTCACTCTCCAGCGTAATCTTCTTTGTAATTCAACTTTTTTATTCCAGATTCCTAGAAAGTCTAAATTGGCTGTTCACAGAAATATCAGAGATGATGAAGGCTTCATTATCCGACATTTTGCAGGAGCAGTGTGCTACGAGACGGTAATTTTACTTATACAAAACTATTTTTGTTACACGTTGTAGTACTTCCATATTTTTCAGTGTATATAGGTTAAATAACAAAATTTCCTTTCATTGGAGGATAAATTCAAAAGTTGGTATACCTTAGCTTTGAAACTAATTTTGTGAGTATGCACAAAATTGTCAGTTTCTTTTAACTTCTCAGATTACAGACTGTTTTGATGACACATTTTGTGTAAGAGTGTTACAAATTTATGGTAATGATGTCAGTATTAAATACATTGATTCATTATCTGCTAATCTTACATCAACAGACATTTGCATCTTGGGGAGAGGAACTTAAGAGTAGTTAGGAAGGAACTAAGTAAGGAACTTAGTAGCTTTTTGGAAGCATGCTTATCCTTGTATGCAATCACTATTTATGTTATATTAAAACCCACATTTTATACCTTTTGTTTTCCATTTCTACTGGCAGTAGAATCATTCATGTAAGAATATTAAATACCTGAAATTACTACCCTCAAAATACATTCCAGATTCTTTTACTTTTTTGACTATTCATCATACAAAAATATTACAAGACTGTAAGCCAATATCGAAAACTTAATTTTTATAAAGATATTTTTAGGATAAACAGCAGATCCATAATGCTTTCTTGTTCTGGTCTGTAACTCCAGTGTGTAAGAAGGAAGCTACTTCCAAAGGTGCTTTTTTTTGTCACTTGAAAATGTGTACTTTAAGGGCTTGTTCTTATTTACTTCAAAATGCTCCAAGAATGGTCATGATTGCTGTGCTGTTTTGAAGTAGGTATATTCTGTGGGTCATTTTACAAACAAGAAAATTGAAATCTGTGTGTTACCTGCCTGATTTTTCTGAGGTCACTCAGTGAGTCAATATTAAAATAATAAATAAAATCAGAACACATTTGTTCCAAGTGCTCTGTGTTTAACTGTGTACCTCATCATGGTACGTTAATAATACCTTAGAGTGTCTTCAGGAACAGAGGAGCCAGATATGAGCACCTAAGCTCTGTTGTCAGAGCTAATCATATATGAGGTAGCTTTGGTCCAGAAGCTATGTTAATATGCTTGACTTAATTTATCCCCTCCCTCAGAGGAGCTTACTTAGCTTGGGCCTTAAAACTTTTGAACTATAGCTGCCTTCTCTTTCTCATTGCGCTTGTGGCAGTTCTCACAATCTGATTTGTGGTGAGGATGCTCATCTGTCTGCATTCATATTCCAGTCTTGTGTTTTCATAGTCCAAGAGAATTTTGGAGGCCTGTGTTTGTCCTTTGATTCCCATCACCGTTAAACCCTTTTATGTGGTATCTGGCAAATTCATATTTTCTTTGAATTAGTCTTGGCCTCTTCTGTTTGTTAATATCAAGGTCACTATTAAAGTTGCACCAAAAGCTATTGAGACTTTTGTTAGTGTGAAATTGTATACTAGTGTCTTGATCTCTGAATTTCAGCGTAAGGTGTTGTTCTTAACTTCCAAAGGTGAGCCAGTTTAAATAAACTAAAGAGGTAAGGTTTGTAGGAAGGGACAATATCTTTTATTAAATCAACTGTTCTTAAATAGTACTACTAAAGTAACCATTTTTCATTTCATTTTCCAAACTGTGTAGGTGCACCAATTAAAGTGTGCATGTTAATTCCCATTTCACAACAGATCTTAAGTGATATTACAAGCAGTGAAGAATTAAGCTTTTCAGAACTCCCAAGTGATGATGTGCTGAGTGCTGGAATGGAAACAAGGAGGATAATTGTGGACAAAACCACAACTGATGTCTTAAAAGGCACTAAACCTTACCTTGGGTTTCATGATTCCAACAACATCCTCCAAATTTAAGAATATCTTTTCTCTCTTTCATTAGTGTTTTGTGTGTCCGGTTGAAAAGTTTTTCGAAATAATGTATGAATATTTGCCCCATATATTCTTGCTGATTTTTGAATGAAGTATAAAACTTTGTTTTCTTTAAGACATAAGTAACTGGGACAGTGAAACAACTGTGCTATTATTTCTTGGGCTGTCTTTTCAGATGCAATTTGTGGAAAAAAACAATGATGCTTTGCACATGTCCCTTGAATCTCTTATATGTGAATCCAAGGACAAGTTTGTTCGACAGCTGTTTGAATCTAACACTAACAACAACAAGGATTCCAAACAAAAAGCTGGGAAACTTAGTTTCATCAGTGTGGGAAACAAATTTAAGGTAACACAATATAGAAAAGAGTCTTATCTTCTTGAAATATATGCCACTCTTAAGTTACCTGAAATAAGAGAACCTAAGATTGGGAGAAGTAGTGGTAACCTGAGACTCAGAAAAAATAGACATTTTCTCTTTTGAATTAGAAGAAACCAATATATTCAAGCTGTGTGCTATGCCTTTCTTTCAAAAAGATGTTTCATAATAATCCTTACAGAGATTATATAGTAATTTTTAAGTCAGAATTTCGCAAAGCTGCATGGAAGCCTTTATTCAAAAGGTTTAAAGTCTTGAGATCTAAATCTGGATTCTGTGGACTTTAAGGGGTTCTAAATGTAACAAAAGGGGTTCTTCTATCCTGTCTTAACTGTGCATTCTAGAAGATGTATCAATTGGCTACAGTTTGCCATTCTGAAAATTCTATACCTAACCTAACCACTGTTTTTCCTCTTCTAAAATGTAGTCATGGCTTTCACAGACAGATGTTCATTGTGCTGAATGTTTCTTTTCTCAATACCTGAATCTGATGCTTCTCCTGACTTTCTCCTTTCTTCTGCTTGTTGTAAAGCTGACCTTCAAACCCTGTCTTCTCCAAATGTTTTCTGCATCCTTTTCTCATTCAGCAGTTTTATTTTAGCTGGAGTATTCCAGCTCAGGATGGCTAGAGAGAGAACTGTAGGGGAATTAAGAGATGAAAAGCAGGCACAACCGTGGGCTGCAGGTAAAGTTTTCAATCTCATGGATTTACGGTTGGTAGAGCTGCTGCCCTTTCAGCAAGAGCTCTTTTCAACTCACCTGGGCCAGATCCAATGAAGGATTTGTATGCCTTCAAGTGCTGGAACGTTTTTGGTATGCTACCTTACCTAGGGCACCTAGAACCCCACGTCATGTTCCTAGCTAGACTCCTTATGCTGTGCCTGGGGAAAGCAGGTATCTTAGACAATCCAAAAACCTTCTTGTAGAGTGTGGCACTGCCAACAGCAGAAAAGCATTTCTACATTTCTGCTCCATGTCAAGGTTAAGTGCTGAAACAGGACTGCTAGATAAAGTCCTTCTTGCATAATTGTATCTTGTGGCTAGTGTTTAGAAATGTTCTCTAAAAATGCAGGGGCTGAAGAACACGAAGGATATGGTAGCAGTGCTTACTTGTTACATAGCAGCAGTATTCTGCCTCAGGTCTATACTGTATGCAGTGTTTTATGTCTCCTGTCTTTCCTGTAGCGCCAAGTTATTGGTCAGTCTGACAGAGGGGATTCTCCCTATACCCCTCTGGAAATGGGTTGTTATGTAGCCAGAAATAAAACTTCAGTGGAGCCAGGAAGAGTAAGAGACAGAGCCTGACTTGTAAGGTAGTGGGTTTGGTATTTATATTGGGAATTGGGCAGTCTGCTCTCTTGAGTTTTCCTCCGACAATTATTTCCTCTTCCTTCTTATTATATAGTAGTTGTAGAATTAAACTGTAGCAACTGGTTTATAATAAACTGCATGATCAGAAGGCAGACTGAAAAATGGAATTACATACAGATTAGCTATCTCCTGAGCAAACCCTGCAACCATGAGTCTGTTGTAGGTGAAGCTAGGGCCCATTGATTTTTATAACGGCATTTCCAAAATGAAACCAACTGTGGGATCTTTGAGAGAGTTTCCATTTTCTTCCATTTGGGTTTTCAATTCCTCTTGCATTTAGCACCCCACATCCAGTAGATGTGGACATATGTCTGAGGAGGGCTGAAGTAAAATGGGAGGCATTTTTTAAGTTAAGCAGCAAATGAGTGGGGAACTTCTTAGATTGTCTTTTGGACTTTGGTGTTCACGTCTACACTTAGAACATGACTAAAGTCCTCTTTGGATCTGGCCCATTAATCTATAATTCTCTCAGTGTTTTCAAGTTTCATGGCATTTTGAATGTATGTGTTATTTCCAGTAATTCATTTAGTGTTACCTTCCCAGACACAACATGTGCTGCTGATGAACACTAATAGCCTTGAAAATTTCACTTCAGATGACATCAAAATGTTCTATTATCTTAGCAGAAATTTCATCTCTTTAAGAATAAGAATTCTTAGTGCATCATTATGTTAAGTCAGTCTCAGACTCTTCTAATTACCTCAATTATTAGATGATGATGCAGGGACTTCTCTTTATGAAATCCTTCATACATCCCTTCCTTATAACTAATTAAAATTGATTCTCATAAATCAGTTGAGGAAATAATGATTAATTAGTTCATCAGATCTACTCAAGAATCTTTGGAATGATTTTACCTTACTGCAGTAATGATGAATTAAATTGTGGTAATTCAGAGAGCAGTAGTTTTAGCAATATGTTTTATTCATATGATCATTTCATTAGGGAAATTTACCTGAGAATGGCTCTGGTTTATTTCTTGACAAATCACAGAGTATAAGGAAGGGTTATTTTTCCTCTAGCAGAATTGTATTTTGTTAATGCAAATTAGGCTGTCCCCTCCAAAATTAAGTATTTCTAACTTAAGAAAATATAAAGATTATATTCAAGTAGAGATATACAGAGTACGTGTAAGTGAGAACTGAGCAGGAGGTTATTAGTGTTTGTCATGCCTCTTGTGGCACTCCTTCTCTCTTTCTAACCATATCCATGATAAATTTAAAAATACCCCAATTTTATCCACTGGAAGGACGACTGGCAGCTGTAGGTGATGCATATTGCCCATACAAATCTGGTTTCTTGGAGTCAAGGTAATTGAAAGATCTGGTTAAAAAAAATTAGTCAAAAGTCAGATCCTTTCAATTTTGGTTCCAGTACAGAAAATGAGGAATGTGTTAGGGCATAACAGAATTTTATCTTACTTCAGTCTATGTATTTAAAGCTTTCTAGTAAACTAGAAAGGCTGGCACAGCGGTAACCTATGTGGTAGAACAGACACATCTGTAAAGTAAAAGTATAGCTGTTTTTCCTGATGTGGTTCTGGAGTATTTTAAGTCCCTACCAATTACATTGAATAGGAGCTGTAACTCGCTTTGTCTGATAGCCCTAAGTCTCTGGTGATCCTGTAGACTTGCCCCCAAATAATCCTAGGACTGTGGTCTTCCCACAGTGTGTTTAAATCCAGCCTCAGTAAATGTGATTTTTAAAATCATAGTCTATTGTCATCAATAGAGATTGAAACATTTGGAAGTTTGGAATTAAAACCAGATTATGCTGGTTCATTCACCTAAACGTTGACTTAACTTCAAAAAACCCAAGAAAATCCTGAGCATATCTGTTTTCTGCTTTGATTATTTAACATACAAATGTATGCTTGTTATAGATTAAATTTGGGATTTCACAAATTTTCAGTGTATTTTTTCTTAAATTACTGCTGATCAGTCTGATATTCTTTATAATTTTATTGCATAGACTTTATTTCCTTTATTTTCCCAAATGGGCTTGCACTTTTTTTTGATAACTGTGTTGTAACTAGTCCGTACAGTGTTGTTGTACAATTAAACACAAATAATTTCCTCAGGACCATTCATGCACACTTGCATGATTTTGTCTGTTAAAATTTGTGAACGTTTGATTTATCAATTCTGTCTAGTTTACTAACAAAGAGCATGCATGCGGTAATGCTATATCACTATTCTGTGTGTATATTTCTGTAGTTGTCATGATAAGGCTCCTGAGATACATCTTTTCTTTTACAGACTCAGTTAAATTTGCTTCTTGAGAAGCTTCACAGTACTGTAAGTATACAGACGCAGATTCATAATTTTCTGACATAAGGCATAATCAATTATCGCAACAATATCATTTACTATAAATCTTATAAGTAATTGCTTTAGAGTTGGCAGTTATATGGCACTTTGAAAAGTCTAGCTGTGCAGGTGATGATTATGGAGTTACTTTAAAAAAAAAAAACAAACCACCTTTAAAAAAAAGTTGTAGAATGAAAGTTACACAATTTGAGTAAACAATATGAAATCTATCTGGGCTGCTATCTCCTTTTTTGTCTACTTCCTTCCATTCACCGGTTATCACTGATGACGAAGATGATTTAGAGATGTTATTTAGAAGTAGGGCAGATGAGAATTCAGTATTACTTACTGTTTTCAGATTCTATAAAGATGTTAACAATGAAATGTTTCATTTCATTTGTGTGATAGGCTGTGAAATGCACAAGTGGTCAAAGAACCTGATTCCACTAATTATTTTCTAATTTAGCTGATGTAATTTGATAGTTTGTGGAATTGTCCATGTCGTTCAACATACCCTTTTTTTTTTTTTTTTAATTTGGAGTTGTAGGAACACATTCTTGTTTCTCTTGACTGCATGTTCTAACCAATTGTAAATAAGAGGCTATGCTCTGTCAAAAAAGAAGAAAAAGGGGGAAAAACATGGGAAACATGGGACAGGTGCTGGAGCGTAGCTGACATTAAGATTTTACCATACTCATGAGGCTGGTCTGAAAGAAAAATGATCTCTTTCACAAAGAACACTGTGGAACTGAGACCCAGTCCAGGGGAAAAGTACGTGGCCAGGCTTGCTGTGCTCTGATTTTAGCTAACCCATGACTGAGGGTGTATTGTTAATATAGAGCTCCCTTGGCAGGTGCTCTCTTACTCTCAGCTGAGAGATGAAAAAAGAGAGAAGATACTGCAAACCAGGCGTAATACTATGTTTTCTCAGTCCCAATTTTGTTTTAGTATGTAGGGTAGGTTGTCATTAGCAGCCACCTGTTACAGGAAAATCTGAGTAATTGGATGGTGTTTCGCAAAGATGTCATTCTTTTAATGAGTGTGAAATGATCAGAGAAAGCAGTGGTCAAAATTGTAGAGACAGCACACGTTGTGATAAGAGGGGAGCAGACTGAAACAACATGGGGGAAGGGGGAGTGAAGCCATGAGCCAAAAGAAACTGTAAAAAGTGAAAGAAAGTTAGAAGAAAGGAAGGTCAGGTTCATCTGTCATGAGTCCAATGTCAGGAGGCTGGTAGCATGTTCCCTGATGTGAACTCTGGAGGACTGAGGCATTTAGGTGATGTGACTGTAGAAGATAATGAGGGTAGTAGAATGTAGACTGCTAAATCATAATTAGTTTGTACTAATGGTAAGAAGAACAGTTCAGTGAAAACTCAAAAGCTGAGGATCTAATTAATAGCTTGAGCATTGAGATTAGCTACATCAAGACCAAGGGCAGAGTGCAAAACTGATATATAACAGAAAAAGAATATCAGCTCTGTTCTTTTAGAATACTATTATTTTGTAAATTTTTTTTTCACCCATAATTCTTAAATGACTAACTGTTAGTTCAGAAGGTTTAAAAATGTGTAGATTCTGCTAACTTCTTGTTTTGGTAATAGGGGTCTAGCTTTATTCGCTGTATCAAACCTAATTTAAAGATGACTAATCACCATTTTGAAGGAGGACAGATCCTCTCTCAGCTTCAGTGTTCAGGTAATATATGCCTCTGATATTTTTCCCTCTGTGTATTACTTTGGACATTATAGATTGACCTAAGTTTGAAATATGTGAGATGGAAGCAATATTTCCTTTCTTGAACTGTTGTTTTCTAGAAGGTAGCTTATTTGTGCCTTATGAACAGTTATTTAGATTCTTAGTAATTTAGCTCTCGTTTTAGTCAATAGAACCCTAGAAATAATTAATCTGAACAGCCATAGGGTCTCCTCTTTGCAAGAAGAGTTGATGTCATTTCCATTGACTGTTTTTCCATTGATTATAATGAGAGCTCAGACACCAGATGCATACATTAAGAAGCCATGTAGCCATATATTGGTACATAAATTTAGATTTTCTGACCTGGAGCTGAATCCCATCTCTTTGTGTTGCCCACAATAGGGCAGCAATTCAGTTCAGAAGAATAGAATTCCTTTAAATTACTATGACAGTTGAAGCGTTAGAAACTCCTGTGTGCATTTAGAGGCAGTCAGTATTAGCTGAGATATCTAATAATTGAAACACACCTGTTTTCTTTGATTTTATAGAAATTTATGATAGAGTTGAAATGTTATTGTTTCACTTTTTCAGAATTTCTTTATACCACTGTTAATTTGATTTGAAGCTGTACTTCCAACAAGGGCACTTCAGCATAATCTTCCCTGTTGCTTTGTATACCACAGATTGCAGTGCTGCATTTTCATTATTCTTGAAATGCTGGGCGCTTTCCAATTTACAGCTTTATTTGAGAGAGTGAATATTAGCAGTTTTGCTTATGCCCCACTGAACAGCACAAGGAACTGCTTGCTTGGGAATTAGAGTGCTGGTATTGTCATTCTTCATAGGGTGTTTGATGAGCAAAGTGCTTCAATATTTTTTTTTGCCTTGTCTGTATTTTTGCACTTTCAGTAGCTTGTGCTTAATTTTTCTCTTTCTGAAGTCAAGTACTTCCAGGTTCTGCAGCTGATGTTTTGACAAGCCCACATGTTTAACACGCCGTGTTATCATCACAAAAGCTTAATTTTTCAGCAGTTAGAATTACATTAACATCATTAGTAGTAGGTTTCTTCAGGTTGACAGTATTTGGTATGTCAGAGAGGAAAAAATAACAAATTAACCACATGCCCCCCTTGCCCCACCAACTATTGCAATGTTTTACAAGAGTCTTACAAGCTCACTTTTCCATATGCGCTTACTTTTTTAGCAACAGTAAATGAAGTTTAATCTAGTAAAACAAGTTTATAACATGTAATGTTAAAAGAGCAAGATGTAATGCTGTAAAATCTTTTTTGAAAAAGAAAGACTTAGTGTGAACAAATCAAATTTCCATTGAAAGAAAATATGCAGAAGATTGAATTTAAAGACAGCAACCATAGTTAAGGGCTAACTTAAAACATATACGCAAAATCTGTTGACAGGGTTATGTAAAGCAGCAGGCAAAAACTGTCATGGCCTGTGCTGTTTGAAGTATTTTGGACCTTTTACTGATTCTGTGTCTGTGCTTTATGGATGTCCTAGTTGCAGCCAAAATGTATTAACAATATTTGGGATGTTAAAATTACATCTTAGCAGCTGATACCTGGTACTGCAAGTACACTCAATGGTCTAGCACTGTGTTATGTATTTGATGTTGCATCTGCACCACATATCACAAATATTATTGACATGATGAAAATAAAAGCCTGGCTGGGTATAATTGTGGTTTGTTTTCTTTCCTTTAGAAATGAAATGTCAAGTCCGCTAAAAAGAAAAAAAAATATTTAGAAGAAATACTAGAAAAAAAATCCTCTGTATCATAGAATCACAGAATGGTTTGGGTTGGAAGGGACCTCAAAGATCATCTAGTCCAACCCCCCTGCCATGGCAGGGACACCTCCTGCTAAAGCAGGTTGCTCAAGGCTCCATCCAGCCTGGTCTTGAACGCTTCTGGGGATGGAGCATCCACAGCTCCTCTGGGCAACCTGTTCCAGTGTCTCACCACCCTCAGGGTGAAGAACTTCTCCCTTGTATCTAGTCTGAGCCTGCCCTCTCCCAGCTTCCAACCATTACTTCTTGTCCTGTCACTGCAGGCCCTTGCAAAAAGTCCCTCCCCAGCCTCCTTGTAGGCCCCCTTCAGGTACTGGAAGGCTGCTCTAAGGTCTCCTCGTAGCCTTCTCTTTTCCAGGCTGAACAAGCCCAACTCTCTCAGCCTGTCCTTGTAGGAAAGGTGTTCCAACCCTCCGACCATCTTGGTAGCCCTCCTCTAGACCGTCTCCAAGAACTCCATTTCTTTCTTGTGTTGGGGGCTCCAGAGCTGGACACAGTATTCCAGGTGGGGTATGAGTGGATCTGACTTACCCCTCAAACACGGAGAAAATTGTGTGGGCTTTTCTCATCTGTTAGGTATTAACTTTTGTGAATGATCACATGATCAAGATATGTTAGAGGCTGGATTAAGTCCTAGCTGAACTTTGTGGTTTAGTCTCTGAACAATGTCTTTGAGGCTTATGTCATAAACTACTGGTTATCATAAAAATCATTGCTTCATTTGCATTTTATTGATACCAGCTTTTGTGCGTGTGTTTCTATGAATTTAGGAATGGTGTCAGTTCTGGATTTGATGCAAGGTGGTTTCCCTTCACGAGCTTCGTTTCATGAACTATATAATATGTACAAGAAATACTTGCCTGAAAAATTGGCTCGACTGGATCCTAGGCTCTTTTGCAAGGCAAGAAAGAAATTAATTCTTCTTCTGTATCATCCAGGACAGAAAATATATTGGTGGGGGGAGTGGGTGTTGTGGTTTTTGAACTTTTTTTGTGTTGTTTTTTTGAAGGAGACAGAATATAATCCTAACTGTTTTCTGTGTTTCAGGCGCTATTCAAAGCCTTGGGACTGAATGAAAATGATTACAAGTTTGGACTAACCAAGGTGTTTTTTAGACCTGGCAAGGTAATGTTTCTCTTGGAGTTCATGAATGTGAATCAGAATAATTTCAGTTGGAAAGGACCTCTGAAGGTGACATTGTTCAACACGTTGCTGAATGTGTGGCCAATTTAAATAAGGTTACCAAGGGTTTTTTGTAAATACCGTTCATTTTCTATGAAAAAAATCAATATTAATACTGATAGAATTGGTTTCATAGTCTCATTGCTAATGGTTCTGTATTGCTAATGCAATATTTGTATTCCCAGATGTTCTACCAGTCACTTAAGACTTATGTTGACTATTAAAAAGAGCAAGTTAGAGCAAAGATATTCTCTAGTAAAATCTATAGCTAAAATCTCTTTCTGTCGGTCTGAACATTGCTGATGCTATGCAGAGAAAGGAGATGAAGTAGGGAGCTGTTATGATTAGAAAGAAAAATTATTTTAGTCCCAGAAGAATGTTCCCTCTATCATAATTACCAAAAAGTGCAGGATTTTCAGAAGAAGATTGCCTTTAGTTGGACTTACACAAAGGTTTAAAATTGAGAAGTGTTTTCAGGGCTTTATTTTTTCCCAGTTACGGAATTAGAGTTGTCTTGAAGTTGTGGAAGGCCAGACTAAGTGTTCAGAATGTAGAGAAACAATTAATTTTTAAAAATTTTGCAGTAAGTATTTTTAGTGATTTGGATTATTCAGAATGCTGAGTGTTGCACATCAATTAGACAAACAAAAAACTCTAGTAGTCGTTTCTGTTATCATTAAAGAATAAAGTGATGCCAGACATACCTGCTTACTTGAATTAGTTGAAATCTGATATAATGATGACATACAGTTTACATTAAAAATACTTTACCTTTCTTGTAAATAATAATGTCTAGCACTCTCTGTTCTCCTAATTTGTAAAACTGTTTTTATTATTATTATTTAGTTTGCAGAGTTTGATCAGATAATGAAGTCTGATCCAGATCACTTAGCAGAACTAGTTAAACGAGTGAATCGCTGGCTTATTTGCAGTCGTTGGAAAAAAGTTCAATGGTGTTCTCTCTCTGTGATTAAATGTACGTATTTTCTGTTTTATTAAATCAAAATGTTTGTTAAAAATACAGCAAAACAATTATTATCACCTTGAAATGTGGCCAAGGACATGTATAGCAGATGGTTATGTACTGAAGTCTGAGTAATTGATTTCAAGGTTGATGAGGTTTTTGTTTTTATGCTTTATATTAGTTACATCTAGGGGGGCTTAGAGCAGAGGTTTTTCGAAGTGGGACATAGAGCCCACCACCAGTCTTCCATGTCGAGTCTGCTTGGGTGCTTGCTGAAGCCTGGGTAAACACTTGCACCGAAATAACAAGCTACCACTGGCCTTGCAGGGGAGAGACTTCTACATCAGCAGAACAGTAGTTCAACTCTCAGCTGACAACATGGAGTCATTTAGTTCTGGGAGGTGCCTGCACGGAGGTTGTCCTCTCCAGACAAAAACTGCATGTTTGAAAGCACTGCCATGAATTATGGGGCAAACATTTCCACTCCAGCAATTATTGCTGATCAGCAAATAAGTGGCTATTGCTATTGATAATGCAGTTTCCAAGTGCTTGGCCTGCCCGATTTACTGGGCAGAGTAGGAATGAGGGGGTGTGGAGATTGCTGCTTGTGGGGTGCTTTAGTAATGATGTCTGGGAGATGGGAAAAGGTCTGATGCAGGATGTCGGGGATCTGTGATAACACAGAGGGTGGAAAGTATACGTTAAGGTGGGGAAGAGAAGCATAAAGGACTCGTGCCTTATGGCTGTGCATGTGGGCCAGCACAGTCGTGACGTCTACATCTGTCACTGACTGGATACTATTTGTTGCCATTTATAACAAATAGAATTTGTGAATTCTTATCATATGAGTTTCAGACATCAGAAATTGTAGCACTGAAGTAATGTTTTTGACCTAGAAATTTATGCGTTTAGTCTATTTTTCAGAAAGATAGGACAGAATGTCTGTCACTGTGTTCAAAAAGTAGAAACTCAAGGAAATAATATGCTGGTTTGTTGTGGCTTTTTTTTTTTTTTATTGTTTTATGGGAAATTAGAAGTTAATTTTGTCCCTAGAATAAAGCTGAAATAGATACACAAAAAGTAGAGTTCATCTTTGATTCCCCAAGTCCAGTAGTTAAATATCACTGTGTTCACAAACCGTGTGCTCAGCTGATGACTAAATGCAGCATGGATCCTTGGGTGTCTGTGCTTCCTCCAGTGGATACATAAAAACTGCGTTCCTTGTTGCGCTTCTGAGCTGCTCAGCACGCATGCTTGTGCCTGTGCCTTGACATTCTCCTGTGTTGAACTTGCCTCCTGGTCCCAGTCATTTGAGTCTTTAGATGAAGACTGTATTAGAACAAAAACAGCTGGAGGTTCAGTATTGCAGAGAAACACTCAGCAAAGTTGCAGCCACTTTATTATGTCTAGTGGATATTGGCTGCTTGATTACCCTTCAGTATGGGACTTAAACTTCCAGCTGAGCATTTCCTGATTGCTAGGTCCAGTGGCTTTTCACAGAGGTTACTGATGTCTGTGAATCCGTGGTGGTGGTGGTGTGTGCACATGTGTGAGTGTGCACGTGCTTAATTCTTCCTGTTTGTTTTGGGTGAGAGCCTCTATGCCTGGCTCAGGATTGTGAATTCCGTTGTCTGCTGTGTTTTAAGTGTTGTGGTTCGGGTATAGACCTACCTCTCAAGCACATGTAGTCTACATACATTTTTGAGCCATCAAGTGAGTGTGTGAGTAATATAGGAGCTGTGTTAAATTTTATAAATCATTGAGACTCAGTATTTTCTGTGTGTTTACAGTGAAAAATAAGATAAAATATCGAGCCAGTGCCTGTATTAAAATACAAAAGACTATTCGTATGTGGCTTTGCAAGAGAAAGCATAAACCACGGTAAGAGGATATTCCCTGGTTGAAGAGAATGGATTTTTAGTAATATTTTCTTATGAATGTAAAGAGATTTACTGTGCTTAACTAAATATATCTGAAGTCATAGAATGATGCTAAGTACAACTGAAAGAGACTTTGAGAGGTGCCATATTCCTCCTCTCTTTCCCAAGGATGAATAGACTAAATCTGAACCTTTCCTAAGGGATGTTTGTTGAGCTCTTTGTTCATAAAATCCTTCCATGATAGCCTAGTTATTGGAAATCCTTAGTTAAGTCTCTCTAAATGAAATTTAAGCTCATTAATTTTTGTCCTTTACCCATTCACACTTTCCTTTATAGGCCCCCTTTCTTTTTTATCTTAAAAATAATTGTCTTTGGTCTGTCTTGTCTCCTCTTGAAATTAAGTAATTCCATTAGCTTTAATATGACTGCGTGGCATTCTGATGGAAAAATTTCTTCGGTCATTAAGTTCTACTGACACTTTTATTCTTTGATAGAGATCCAAAACTCTGTTCTTTAGTAGCGGGGTTCTTACAAAATGTTTTCTTTTACATCCTTTGATAGTTGTTTCATTTTGTACCTTGGCATTTCTGACCATGTCCCTGTATTTTTAAGCTGTTCCGTACTCATCTTTGATGATTTGATTTGGTTTCTAGTTTTTGTGTGCTGTTTTCCTCAATCCCAGTTCAGTGATTTCTTTCTAGGAAGACTGTTTCTGCAGAGTTGTAACTTGTATGTGTGGCCTTCTGTATCGATTCTTTAAGAAGCTTGAAATTTTCCTGGACTCTTCCCCAGACTTTTTTTTTTCCCTTGTGAGGCCTAATAACTGGGTTCCCTGCTGCATAGTTAAGTTTGGTCTGATTCAGTCCTGTTATTGCTCTTTGAGTAAGTGGCACAACTGAATCTTTGTCCACTCCAGTCAAAATCCTCTAGTGGATACTAATGATTTGTTATTTAAAAAACCCCAAAACCCAACCAACCAACGAAAACCCACAAAAAATCCACATTAATTCTCAAAATAAAAATACATTTTTCCATTTTGAGTCACTGTCTGCTGATCAATTTTAATTATCGTTTGCAAAAGGCTCCATTGCTTAGTTATTTCATGTGATAATGTTTGAATTTCAAAAAAAGAGGGTGAGTTTTATCAGAAGGCATAACTTGTCTCCCCTATCTTCCTCTTTAATGTGAGTGATTAGTGGGAGTTTTAAAAATACCACCTTGTAAAAACATCTCAAGATACGAATAAACTGTCTTACCTTCACAGCATTGATGGCCTGATAAAAGTGCGTACGCTGAAGAAGAGACTTGATAAATTCAATGAAGTAGTAAGTGCTCTGAAGGAGGGGAAGGCGGAGACAAGCAAGCAGGTCAAGGAGCTGGAGTATTCTATTGATGCTTCAATGACCAAAATTAAGGTATAGTAGTAATCAGAGAAATAGTTTCTTATTACTGACATCTTTTAAAAACTGAATCTAAAGTAGAATGCCAATGTATTTTTCTTAATAGAAAAGACATTTTAATATAGAGGTCTTGGTTTTCAGAGGCACTGGGTGAATCCTGTTTAAAATTATTGGTGAATGAAACTGAAGTGAATCCTAAACCAGTGCATATGCCTAGACCTTGCTATTATTATCTGTGTTTCAAAATTAGCACTGCAGAATTTAAAGCAAAAATGCTTGTTGATATTGTGAGACAATTGTTAATATATTTGCTTGTTTTTTTTATTATTGGGATAATGAATATTAGCAATGTTTTAAATTAATAGGGGCTGAAATGTACAAGCATTTATCACTAGAGTGAAGACAGATATATTCCAGTTATGAGTTCTTTTCAGACTTGGTAGTAAAGAGAGTTCAGCTTGCTGATTATGCTTCAGAGCACACAGACAAAATGAAAGCACAGTGGGGCTTATTAATGTCAGAAAAAATTTGATGTGTTGAATTTTTGTTTCATGCAATATTATAGTTTTCTTAGTGAACCATATTAAGATTTTTCTATTTAAAATCACAGTTGAAAAGATGATAGAGTTAACCTGTCAATTTCTAGTTCTCTTCTCTAATAAAAATACGATAGTTTGATTATTATCATGATACACCCTCAGACAAGGTCAGCAAACACCCCACATCACAGTTTCATTAGTACACATCAATGTGAATTGTACAATGAAATTAAATTGTTGCTATCAATGAGGTTTGGAAACAGATGTAGCAAAGGCGATTGTTTTAAGTATTTTCAACCTGTTATTTGCTACTAATAACTTTTTTTAAAAAGTTAGTCACAGCATGGTCCAATACTTCTTTTGACTGTGAGCACACATAGTAAGAAAAACTGTTCTGTGCTATGGCATAGAAGGTAGAGCTGTAAATAACCACTATAGCATGTAAGAACACAACACGAATGCACATAGGAGACCCTTAGTTTTCATCTTAGTGCGGTAAGAATTAATTTCTGTTGCTTAAAACGGCAAGGTTTAAAAAATGAAGGTGTGTTTCAGAGAGAAGTCATGTTTAATTTCAGTGATGAAATGGAGATTACTTTATATGGTTTTATATGAGAGAGGAGAGTAATGCATCCCCAGGATTTTAGGAAGAAAGAAAAGGATATGCTCAAGCTCCCCCACCCTGAAGTGTATATATAATTTAATTATACTGCTCAATGCTCTCATTTCACTTAGTATTTTTCAATATACAGTTTTTAAAAGTGAAGTACAAACATGAAAGAGTATAATTCCCTCTTATTATTTCATTTGCAGACCACTATAATGACTAGGGAACAGATACAGAAAGAATATGATGCTCTAGTTAGAAGCTCAGAGCAGCTTCTGAGTGCACTGCAAAAGAAGAAACAGCAAGAGGAGGAAGCAGAGAGGCTACGACGCATCCAGGAGGAAATGGAAAAAGAAAGGAAGAGACGTGAAGAGGAAGAAAAACAGCGAAGGAAAGAAGAAGAGGAAAGACGTCTGTGAGTCTTGAATAAGTTGCTGGTTGTAGAATGAGAAGAAAATAGGCAAGGCACTTTAATGAGATTGTTTTTAATACTCCTGTGCTGTACTCCTGGTGTGCTATGCAGCGTTAAAACCTTTCCTTTCCCAGTGATTTGTAAGGTAAGCTTAGTTGGAATAGGGTATGGGAGAAATTGTGTGATGCAGCTGGAAATACAGATGGACTTGGAAAGTTTCTTGACTTTGCAC